ATTTGTGAAAGGTAAAAATGTGTCTTGGCTGAATAAAGGTTGGGATCAGCCGAAAAAAATGACATAGTATAGTAAGGCGTTTTTAGCGAGAAAAAAAGACATAGTATAGTAAGGCGTTTTTGGCACGGAAAAAACGACATAGTATAGTAAGGCGTTTTTGGCACGGAAAAAACGACATAGTATAGTAAGGCGTTTTTGGCACGGAAAAAACGACATAGTATAGTAAGGCGTTTTTGGCACGGAAAAAACGACATAGTATAGTAAGGCGTTTTTGGCACGAAAAAAAAAGACCATGTATAGTCAGGCATTTTAGACGGAAAAAAACACCATGTATCGTTAGCATAGGTACAAAGCCCGCCAAGTGATCTGTGAAAATAAACACACCACTTTCCTGCAAACCCTTCAAAGTGCATGTCAAATACGACGATCGTGTAGAGGAAGTCACAGTCACTGGTGGTGTAGTGGAATACACGCTGGCTTTCTGTCCAGGCAACCCCGGTTCAAACCCCACTCAGTGAAGTGAGAAAATTCAACATCAAACAACATTTTTTCTTGCACACCCTCCAGAGTGAATGTCAAATATGCTTATCGTGCAGAGCAAGTCATAGTCACTGGTGGTGTAGTGTTATACACGCTGGCTTTCTGTCCAGGCAACCCCGGTTCAAACCCCACTCAGTGAAGTGAGAAAATTCAACATCAAACAGTTACTTTTTCCTGCAAACCCTCCAGATTACATGTGAACACACGCTGGCTTTCCGTCCAGGCACTGCGGGTTCAAACCCACATCCAGTGACAGCATGTATGTTGGTTCCAATGGCCAAAGGTGATAGGCTGCAGCAAGTTCCCAGTGACAGTAGTCCATGTTGAAAAGGTGTATTTAGCCAAAAAAAAACTACCATGGAGAGTAAGGCATTTTTTGCATTTTCTAACACAGGAAGTTATCCAGTTTTACTTAATACATTTGAAAATGATTTCTTTCCTCCAAAAAGTGTAAATGTGTTCAACTCTATAGTGAGAGACGGAACAATGAAGTGCTCTTCCACTAGATGGCAGAAGGTACATATTTCTCCTCTATGTACTTTTTTTTGGCGGGGTTGGGGGTTGTGACATTTTTTTAAAGGTGAAAATGTGTCTTGGCTGAATAAAGGTTGGGAAACACTGTTCTAGCGTACATGGGACTGTACACGTTGATGGATGATTAACGTTTTCCTTTTGGTGATGACATCATCACAGTGAGATGGGGGGGGGCGCTGAACCTTTGAACCGTACAAAAAAAAAACACAAAACAAGAAAAAAAAAGAAGGAAAAAAGGTTCATCCAACCCCACATGCCGGTAATCAGCTGCTTTGTTTATTTGCAGAATTGATCGACAGTCCGAACGCATCTGGCAACTCCTCACAAATGTTTATCCAAAAAGAAATCAATCGCGATCTATGGCACGGCAGCCTTGGATATCGTCACATTGCTGCACTGCGAATGGACGCTTTTCCAAACGTGCTCCTGAATACTGCCGTTGCGCTCCAAAAACTCAACTTTTACAGTCAACGGAGAAGAGCATTTCTCCACTTTGCACTTGATGACCAGCGAGTCACTCGACTTGCGAAGAGTGCAGCCGCTCAGGTCAGTCATCTCCTCTTCGGGCAAACGACACAGAAGCTCGTCCCTGCCGATGGACGCCAGCGGTCGCCTCCGCAGGAAGTCGGGACTCTCGCACAACATCCTATCCGGCGCCTCGACGCCCTGGTTGTTGTTCAGCACGAAATCATGCAAATACCACATGTGGCAGTCACATCGCCAAGGGTTCCCGTGGAGTCGTAACATGTGCGGGAGTGCAAAGTGGTCCAGGAGGCCCAGCGGGAGATTTTTCAGTTGGTTGTCAGACAGGTAGAGTTGCTGAATGAACTCCTGGTCCTGAAACAATCTGGACTCCAACCTACTCAGCCGGTTTTTGTGGAGGTGGATCATTTTGACGCGTTTGAGCTCGGCGAAGATCTTCTCCGGCAACGATGCGAGATTGTTTTCCGAGAGATCCACATTCTCGAGAGAGGTAACGTTTCGAAAAATGTCTTCGGGGAGTCCTGAAAGCTGATTGGATGACAAGAAAAGGTCAGTCAGGGATGTCAGCGTACTGAGAGAGGACACTTGTGTCAGCCTGTTTCCTCTCAGGTCCAAATGTGTCAGATTCGAAGCCTCCCGTGCAAACACGTCGTCGCTGAAAGTGACGAGGCGGTTCCCGCGCAGGTTGAGCACCTTCAGTTTGGGCAACGCAGAAAAGATCTCGTCAGCGAGTTCTGCTATTGTATTCCCTTCCAAGTGGAGTTCCGTCAGGTGAGCCACATGATGGAACGTGTCCGATGAAATATTGCTAATGTGGTTGTTGTTTATTTTGAGAACCTCCAGCGCGATCAAACCGGAAAAAGTCTCTCCTTCCACCTTCTGGATTTTATTAAGAGATAAATCCAAGGCGCGCAGATTGCGAAGGTTCCGAAACAATAACGCGGGTAAATCGGAGATGATGTTGGCCTTGATCTGCAGGGTCTCTAGGTTTCGAAGAGCATTAAACATACCGGGAAGAACAGTGTGGAACCTGTTGTAGTTGAGCTGCAGCTTGGTCAGGTTTTCCTGCTTGGAAAAAGTCCCCAAAAACAAATGTTCCAGCCAAGGGTTCCCGCTGATCTCCAGTTCTTGAAGCGCCGACAGGTTTTGAAAAGCCCGAGAATGAATACTTTGCAGCGGATTGTTCAAGAAGATCAGCTTGTGGAGTTGGGGACTCTCATCAAAGGCGGTGGGGAACAAGTACTGCACGGCTGATGTCATGATGATGACTTCCTTGGCTTCCCGGGATATGTTCTTGGGCACCGATGTCATGTGTTCATCAGCGCACAGGACTTGGGCTGGCGTAAAACATTGGCATCTGGACGGACAGTTGAAGTGGGACAAGATGGCGCCTTTGGGACACAGAAGCAGCAGCATGAACACGGTTGGCCGCAGTCGTCTGTCCATTTTTCGCTGTTGAGACAAAACAGAAGAGCTGTAAAATGGTGGCAAAAGTAACCACACTCGACCGTACTTGTACTCTATTGAAGTACAAGTACGGATATTTGTGTAAAATAACACGATGATTGTAGTAGATATAGTGGTTTTAATTTTTATTGAAGTAAATTTAAGTAACTGGTAAAGTAAAAAAAAAGTTAAGTAAAAAAAGTACGGACTGAAATGCACGTCAGTACCAAAGCAACAGTGAATTTTTTATGTCAATTGCAGTGCTTCCCAAAGTGTGTTACTGTATGAGTAAAAAAAAATAGGCACTGAATTAAATGTTCAATCTCTGGATTGTGTCGCAGTGTCTTCAATACTTTAATTCAGTTAGTGCATTTCCATCACATTTAACTTCTAAAGCCCTTTAGATGGGGATTTGTTAAAGTGTGAAGGTTTTTGACGACCCTCGTGAGAATAAACCGATTAGAAAATGGAAGAATCTTTCTTGCAGTGATCCCCAAAATGTGGAATGAGGAACACGAGTGGTGTGTGGCTCCCTCTTGAGGTACGGGAAAGAATTAATCGATCTTTCCATTTTCCAAAGCCGCTTATCTTCACGAGGGTCACTGAATTAAATGTTTAAACTGGATCATGTTTAAGTGGCTTCAACTTTTTTTTATACAGTGCAATACAATTGCGAAGTGCAGTTCACTTGCATTGAACTTTTAAGTACAATACATTTCAATGTATCATTTGGGGGGGGGGGGTTAGTTTATTTTGAAAGAGTAAGTAGAAAGTACGATACATTTAGTCGTACTCTAGTACCTGTACTAGGATCTGTTTTCAAGGGGAGTAGCAGTTAACAAAGTCATCGAAAAATGAAATATATAAGCTGACTACAGATAGCGGAAAAATATACTTCCTGTAATTGCAAAAAAAGAAAGCATTTGTATTTTGTTTCTTCCCAACACACTGGCTTTGTAACACGTTTGTAAAAGTGATGTCGCTGTTCAACTCACCTTTGCTGCTGAAATGGAGCGTAGAAATGGATTCAGCAGCCTGCTGACCGAAAGGCAAATAGCACAACGAGCCGGAATTAGGCAAGAGTAAACCTTTGGTCGATGGCCACTTTGTCTGTCACTTTCTTTTGCTCTCAACAAGAAACCCCTTTGAATGATTTATTGCCTCGATAACTCAAACAAACAAAAAAGTAATTCGCCCAGTTCTTGTTTGCAGACTTGAAGTACTTCTATGTAACATCTTCTTCTAAAGTATGACGGTGTTAAATCATTTTCACTACAAAAAAAATGCTTGTGGAGGCTCTCAGTCGTACAGGAAAGTTCCATCGTAGAAAGGGTTCTGTCAGTCGTCATCTGTACCTGTGGGTAAAAAACAAACAAAAAAAAAAAACAAAAAAAGCAAAAAAGATCACTTACTACAAAAAAATATGAAGAAAACAGCCACGTTCAGTTTACGAAAAACGTCAAATGAAAAGTATTGTAATGTCTGTTTTTTTAAAAATAATTTTAGTTTTAAAGACGTGATATATTTTATTGAAAATTGCATTTGTGTTATAATTGCCTTTGCCTTTTTTAATCAACGTGAACATTTTGAATTTGATAAATGTCTTTCAACATTTTAACTTGTTCTAAAAATAGGATGAAAAAATTATGGCTATATTTTGAGAAAAAAAACATGCTAACCATCCATCGTTGTTTTAAATTTCTGCGACGTAGAATTGTACCACCTCATTGAATAAAAGAACGTCATTTAGAAGTGCGAGTGAGCGAAAAAAGACAGTAGCAGAGAATGGTTTCGATCCATCGACCTCTGGGTTATGGGCCCAGCACGCTTCCGCTGCGCCACTCTGCTCTGTTCGTTGACTTCGATTGTAATTTTAATTATCAAGTTATCACTTTCGGGAATACTTGTGCAGTACACAACTTTGTCCACTAGGAGGCGCAAATACACCCTTAACCTGTACTGTATATGACAGTGAGTGATCCTCCCTTTTCTCCAGGTCACTCCCAGTGATACACTGATAGAAAAAAAATTGTGTGTGTCAAAGAAAGAACCTCAGCACCAAAACATCAGCCTCATTTGGGTTTTTTTTCCCCAACTTGGAGTTTTTAAATTCATACTTGGATTTGATTTGATTTTCCTCTTGTGGTATTTTTGCTCTTGATTTGAAACATGGCCAATGCTGGAATACAACTGCTTGGCTTCTCACTGGCCTTCGTGGGCTTCATTGGCTCCATCGCATCCACTATCATGGTGGAGTGGAAGGCTTCATCCTACGCGGGAGACAACATCGTTACAGCTCAGGCACTTTATGAAGGCCTCTGGAAAACCTGTGCATGGCAGAGCACGGGCCAAGTTCAGTGTAAAGTATATGATTCAATTCTCCAACTACCAGGTAATGTTCCATTGAATTAAATGCACTAATGTCATTTATTACATTTTCCTTAAACAAATATGATCCAATGATACCATGTCACAAGAGCAGATCTTGACAAGCTGTGTCAAGTCTCAATGACCATTTTGTTTGGGGATCAGTACATGTACTATTATAGGCTCTCTGCTCATTCAAACCTTCCTTGAGGCGTTATAAAAGTGAAGCGTGGATGCATGCAGGGACATGTCAGTCAAATACCAACCAATGCCTCATCAAACAGCCCGAAAAGTGGGTGGAGAAGAGAAACGGGGAATTTTACAAGCTTGAATTTGGAAGCGTGAGACCATTAAAAAATAAATAAATAATTTAGAATCACATTAAACACATTTTAATTAATTGCCTACTCTCACTCTTGCTGTCAAGAATTTGGGAGACTGTCATCTGGCAAGACTGAGGAAATGAAAAGAAGATTCTTGCTCGTATATTTTTCCAAATAAGAAGTCAAGCGTGCTTGCTTCAAGTTCCTTGTTTGTTACCCCGACTTGAAATTTAGTGTAACATCAACACATAAAACTATCAAGTATGATACGTTGTATATTTAAACTTAAACACCAAACCATTCAATTCGGTCGAACAAAAATCAGCTAACTTAATGCTACGTGAAACGTGAAATGCTGTGTGGGTTTTCAATATATTGGCCTCAGTGGGAGTAGAATATGTCTTTGGATGATAAGGTAATCAGATCCTTGCAAAGAGAGAATTAGAAGCACATTAGATTAAAGGTGAACAGTGTCATCGAGTCCTCTTTTTGTTTTTCAAGAAAGAAATTACAATATGACGACCAAGCTATCCATGGTGTCTGTGAAACAAGCCAATGCCCACTTGTCCTGTGTGTTTGTCTCCCCAGCCATTGTTTTGGGCACACGAGGACTGATGCTGACGGCCATCTTTCTCTGCTTGATTGCCCTCTTGGTGGCAATGGTGGGCATGAAGTGCACCACGTGTTTGGCAGAACAGCCGGAGCAGAAAGCCAAAGTGGCTTTAACAAGCGGAATCATCTTGATTATTGCAGGTGAATTGGTTGAAACACATGCTTTCGGTGCTGGGTGGGAAGCAACGAATTAGTAAAGATTTTGTGACTTTACAGTCTGTTTTACCTGTGCACTTTAAAATGACAGTACATTTTATTAACTGGTGTTTATTAGTTGTTGATTTTCTATACATTTGCGGTTGATTTTTAAGATGGTTATTATTGTTTCATTTAGAAAGGAGACTACAAATAGATGGATGCACTATATTCTTATTTTGATGTGCAATGGGCTTTTCTGGGCACATGATGTTTTGATAAAGTGCTTTCAGTGTTACCGGTGTAGACACATTTGAAATATGTTGTATATAAATTGCAAATCTATTGTTATTGGGGATATTGGTGGGACGTTACCAAGTACAAATACTGAGTTGCTGTACTTTATTTGATTTTTCAGGTATCTTGAGTATTCATTTTTTCTGACGGTGTAGTACTTTGACTTCCCACATTTGAAAACAAATATCTATACTTTCTACTACTTCCTTTGTCAAAATAGGCTTGTTACTTTTTTAACCTCCGGTAAAGTTACCCATGGTTGAGCTCTTGATATCCATATTTGTATTTATTATCATTCTTATCCTTATTATTATGCTTTTCCAGGCCTCCTGGCCCTGGTGGGAACATCTTGGTACGGCCACAGAATAGCTCAAGACTTTTACAACCCGTTCACACCAACCAACGCAAGGTGAGGTGACTGGAATTTACAGTGCTGTGTTTTTATGCTGATTAGTCGATTTCATGTTGTTGATGTTAAATGTACGTGACATCATGGCAGGTACGAATTTGGAAGTGCCCTCTTTGTGGGATGGGGCGCTGCGATCCTCATCATTATCGGAGGAGGCTTCTTGTGCTGCAACTGCCCCAAACAGGACTCAGGGAAAGCTCCACGCTACCCACGAACCAACGCAGCCAGCAACTCGGGCAAAGACTACGTGTAGGCTGTCTTTCTCACCAGAAATAAACAGGCCATTGGAGGTTGTTATGTAGGATTTATTGTGCAAAATGTACAGGATATTGGCTTTGTTAAATGTTGCTTAGTCGTACTATTATATCTATCTATCTATCTATCTAATTAGCTAGCTAGCTATCTAGCTGGCCAACTAGATAGCTCTCTCTCTCTCTCTCTCTCTCTATTAGGGCTGGGCTATTAAACAAAATGTAATCGTGATTTTGGTTTTTCTCAATCTTTAAAACGGTATAATAAAAGAAAAATGATTGTGTCGTCTATGCGATTCTGCCGTCCGTGAGCATGCTTTAAGCTGTTTAATGAAACCCCAGTCGGAGTTTACTGTAAAACTAAACACACAACAAAAAGAATTACTCACATTGTAGATTTAAACACAAAATATGCTACTGCTAATGCTCAAGTCAGTGTAAAATCCCAATGACACGCTAATGGGAAATTAGCATCGACTTCAAGGGTGATATTCCTTCAAAATAGCATACAAAATCTGTGGGAATACATTAACACTACTCAAAGGCACACATTCTTCCTATTTGTGAAAAACAAGTTGTATTAATAAAGCTCAATCACATATTTCTTTCTGTCACATTGTGTGTACTCCATGGATGCACGGCACCACACTGCCCCTACGAGGACAACACGGTGAGAAATTTGTCATTATTATTCTTTTATTTGTATTGTTGTAATATATTCTTATTTCCTTGTTTTTATTGTATTTTCATTTTACACTTTGTTCCCGCATAATGTCCATCCATCCATCATCTGCCCATTTTCAAAACTAATTATCCTCATTGGGGTTGCAGTTGAACTGAAGCCTATTCCAACTGACTTTGGTATCGTTCAGTAACGCTTACAAGGTCGGTAATTTCTACGCTATTCTAATTATGACTTTATACAGCGATTTTTTTCCCCTTCTACCTTTGCGGTTCTACCCAGTGACGGCTTGACAGGATAAAATATGAGTGAACACTTCCTCTCATGTCTCCCTTAAAATGGGAGCCTCACAGTGAGCTTTTTTTCGTGTTTCCATTGATTCAAATGCACCAGTTGCTCCTGCAGTAACGCGGAGCCTCCAGGGCAGGGAAAAAAAAAAGAGGGAAGGACACCTGACAAGCATACCTCAGTTCATTCATTCCTGTCCAAGCACGCCCGTTCACAGTAAGACTCAACTATCTGTAACAGAGGGCACCTGGTCCCACCTTTAAAAAAGACTCAATCCCCCCCTCACCCCATCCTTAACCACCACCAGCAAAAGTGGCCGAAAATCTGCTGCTTTCGTTGTCCCACTACACAAGCACAAAAACGTTCACGTTGGAAGGGAAAACGTACAAAATATTGCAGTTTCAGAAGTTTCATTGGTTTAATACATTGCAGAGAGCGCCCCCCTCTGGTCAGACTTCGACTGACTGGCTACAGGTAGTAACATGCATTTATGAATCTGTATTACTGTGTGTGTATATGAACTGCTAACTGAGGACTGTGGAAAACGAAATTTGTTTTAGAAATTCAATTAAATTATTTATATTTTTTAAGTATTATATTTGAACTATTGTGTTTATAGATTCGCGATGTACATCCATCACATTTTTAAATTAAAATCTTCATAATTATAACAACTAATGAAAAAATTATTAATCAACGCTATGAGAAATATCCTAACAAATAAACAAGCAGAATTTGTTTGATTAAACAATCACATTAAAGTGCAATTCCCGTCGAAAAATACCATTACAGATTACAAATAATATCATAATGTGATTATTTTTTCTTTTCTTTGTGGCTCTGATACTGCTCCGAGGTACTGCTCATTTTGGAACTGAATATTATCATTTGGCTGGTAAAATAAAATTGGCGAAAACACAATATGATGATGTTATCAGTTGTCACATTTTGAATATGAATTAACGTCAGTCGACTTTCACTCGCATCCGGAAATAGTAATGACTAGGAATTTCCTCTAGAGGGCAACAGAGGACACATCTTGAATGATTGATTTCAGAGGAGCCCATGGATCTCAAACTTTTTGGGTCCAGGGACACCTTAACAGGAGAGAAATTTTCCTTACCCGTTTATAATCCTGCTGCCAATTAACATGACATATACTACATGTACCCGTCAATCATACTTCAATGAAGGAGTTTCCTAGTTTTGGGCTGGGCTCCGAATGTCATGATAATGTTTCGTTCCAGCAAAAAAGTTGAAATGTTATGAGAATAATAATAAGACTTTCCACCCGTACAGGAATGAAGTTGTATTTCTTACGAGAAATGCAATTTACTTTTTAGTACCAATGTTAATGCTATTTCATTATTCTTGTTATTATTATTATTAATGTTTGTTGTACTGCAAATTTCCCATTGGTGGGACTAAATAAAGATATATTATGATACTGAAGTCAAAGTTTATTGAGGGAAAAATGAAGTGAATATTATTTAACAGATACATTTAAAAATACAACTTTATTTTCCTAATATTGCGCTTTTTATATAACGCCTTTTATTTCGGAAAATACATTTCAATTGTCCCAAAAAATAGGATGCTTTCCTTGGATAACGTTTTTCAAAAAAGCAAAACAAAGTAAGCGGTCCCACGCCAGCATTGATTTCCAATCCGAACTATCCCATGACCTACCTTCAGTCCCCTGTGGCGATTCACGACAGCGTTTCAATTTCTTATCTACAGTATGCAGCACTCGCAAATGAAGATACCGTATGTTTAAACGCTTAAAATTTACATGGCGTTTAAATATTTATGTTTCATCAACTAACACATGTAGAGATAGGAGTGCCGCTATAAAGACGCATCTTAACTGGATTATTCCTCAGGTGAAAGGTCACATAACATTCTTCAAGAGGGATGACTGGATTATTGAGACAAATCTCTGCACAGCAATGTAAAAGTATGTCACTGTGAGACTAGACGGGTGTATCTCACTAATTTTGAAGATTGTAGAAAAGTTTGTTCATTTCAAAACTTTAATTGAAAAAAAAGAGTGAAACTCATATTATATAGTATGATGAAAAACACTGCAAAACACCTTTTAAAAGCCCCAATTCCTCCTTAATTACTTTGTTAAAAATAAGTTTGATGGCTTTTTTGTGCAGTAATCTAATTCAAGATATTATCATCAATATTAGAAAAATAAATAAAATCATAAAATAGTTCCCTTAGTGGTGAATCTGAATAATATGCAAATTTTACTCCTTGATTTGAGCTGCAAAGAATTTCTTGAGGTACGCTTGTAGCAGGGGAAGAATTTAAAAGCGCTTTCATTCGACTTTAACTTTCCACTTTGCATCGTTATTTTATTGATCAATTTATGATCAAACTTTTTTTTTTTTAAAGGATGAGCCTTTTAATTTAAATACTACTGAGCAGTTAACTCGGTTTCCTCCCTAATTGAATTGGGATCCTTGCGTAACCGGCTGCATGTGCACCAAAAATATCTGCAGGCTCCCTGCTACTGAGGTGATTGGCCTGTGTCATGTTCCGAGACTGATCCAAAAGAAGCATAATCTCTGAGGTCAAATCAACCCGATCGGTTAATCCCTGCTGGAACTGCGGCGACACACATGCCGAAGTGCATCGCGAGTGCGAGGTGTAAAACGGTTCACAAATTCACCGTGTGGGTCCAATCACAGTTGTGTCGTGCCAGTTTTCAGTTTAGCAAACGTTGACTGTGAGGAAAATCCATTTTGCCTTGTACCGTCAAAACATCTTTCAAAAACTCAAAGAACGAGGCAGTCTGACATTTGACACGTATTCGTGACAGTCTGAGGTGAAATGTAGGTGAGATTCTGGCTGCAAATACACCCGATGAGACACAGCATATGGGGGATGGCGTAAGAGAAGAATCATGGAAGCTGACCCACATGATTTGATTTCGTGGGCCACATAAAATGACATGGCGGGCCCGATCTGGCCCCCGGGCCTTGAGTATGACACCTGTAATGTAAAACAACAAGTCATATTTTGACAACAAATAGTTTTTTTGCCTTAAACATCTCCTCATGATGCTGGCTCCCCTGCTCAAATCGGCTACAGACGATGAAATTATTAATAGATATAATACAAGATAATAAAATGAGGATTTGGTTCAGTTTTTCATTTCTGTCAATTTGGTACTTGTGCCTTAAATTATAGATACTGTACCATCAATTCTGTGGGGGGGAAATATATTATAACAACTCACAGGTTTGCCACGTATAGCCCATCACACAAAGCAGTTCTGAATCAATAATTATCTGATAAGTGGAAAAAAAACCCACAAGAAAATCGTTCAAATGCATCATATTCACTTGGGGTGGTGATTATTAAATGGATGAATATGTGCATATCACAGCCCTTTTTTTTTTTAATTAGTCGACACATCTGAGGACAGAAAAATGCTAACTAAGTTCGAAAATGAATTTGAATTGCGATTGGTTGAAGAAACAGGTCCCATTTGCTCATATAGTTTCAGTTACACGGGCCAGTAGTATTTCTAATGGCCCTGGGCAGATTAAATTGACGTGGCAACACGTAGAGGCTGACATTTGATTGGACAAAAAAATCTAAACATACACGTACCGGAAGTAAGTGCAGCCAGGGAAAAAAAAAACGAGCCAAAATGGAGAGAATAAACTTGATAGCCTGCCTGTCCGCATTAAAAGAAGCAAAGAAGTGAAGGCTTTTGGGATTTCCCCCCCTCCACACAACCACTTGTTTTTGTCCATATTTGATCGCGTAACGTGCCAGAAAACGGTACATTGAGTCCTCAGCGTTAAGTGCCTTGTTCTTTACCACGTATACTTCCGGCGATTTCACGTGTCATTACGCAAACGCGGCGATGCTGTTGCAGCAGCACGAGGCTTCTTCCGAGATGACAAAGTTCAACGTCTAACTACTATAATCTTTTTCGATGAAGAACCGCTAACCCAATTATGCCACAAGCGGTCTGAGCGGATGAATTGGAATCAGTTGAAAAGCGATGAGGAAATGGCGACATCTTTTACTGACGATAAATGCGCGTTGCAAATGCAACGTCAAGAAGCAGTTGCTGGAAATTGCCATTCCCTGCAATTTATTGAATGGTACACTGCACTCGTGTTGCCACAGTGACATCGGTGGTCTGTAATAACGATCGGCTACCTTGGACACTGCTGATCGTTAACGTTTGAGCATACGTGATGTTTATTTCCAGACGCATTGTGCAATCATTGGATTGTTTTCGTTAGCTTCAGACAAATCCAAATTAAATGCTGTGATTAAAAAAAAAAAAAACTGCTCAAGTGAAAAACAGTGAGATCACAGTGTGTTATGGCACCGCGTGTGCACACTGCGCTCCCATGTGATTCAATTAACGAGGATCATGTGGGTTTCACTCCAATGATACAGTAACGACGTGAAGGTTTTAGCAATTTCTGGGTTGTGAGCATGCCGCTTCTATTTTTTTCATCTGAAATTGGCCTGAATGAGAGGCAGCTGACATAATTTCACGCTTAATTCTAATTCCAGTTCATGTGCCGATCCTCAGAGGAGACTGGCAAAAAAAAAAAAAAAAAAAAAAACACCAAGAAAGGAAATTTGAAGTCTTGGAAAGACATCCTGATTAATTGATTCATTTATTTTGCCCAAAGATGAGAGAGACAGACAAACAACTAAATGTGGAGGCAGCTGCCGAGTGGCTTGTCTTGGGAAACTGCCCCCCCCCCAAAAAAATATTGTCTGTTCATGCAAGTAGAGGATAATCTACTATTGTTTATTGTGATGCATCTGATAGCGTATAAAATGATCTACATTAAGTGTATAATGTGGCCACCCGTTGGTGCTTAGAGGCGCTTGTAAAGCACAAGACCTGTCAAGCCGCCTTTTGTTGACTTGAGGTGAAAATAAGCCAACGGCTCTGGACTTTATTGACACCTTGGTAACGGAACGCGGTAACAAGCCAAATAAACGCGGGCGCGGTTACATTCTAAATTATTCATGCTCTGGCCAATTATCTCGCAAACAAGCTCGTTTTGAATTCATTAGATCTGTATGTTCCAGTTGAAGAGTTGTGAAAATTTCCCAATTGGGCCTGTTGAGCCGTTTTCCCTCCACTGTGCTGGTGAACCGTTAGTCAAGATCTCATGTGTGTTCGATTTGGCGTCATCGCTCTCACACTCTCTCGTATTGATCACTTGAATGTTCAATGTGGCAAAGATTTAGCAATTTTTTTTTTTTTTAAAATGCTCAACATAACGATGACGTCGACTATAAGAAAATTTCCAACGCTCCAAAAGTAGATTCAAACATGAGAAAGGAGAAGTCGTGCGATGAAATACTTTTTAAACGGAGACAAGCCGGCTTGAGAAGGTCTGGAAAGGCTTTCCGTATAGTTATGCAACAATCGCTGGGGTGGGATGTGCATAATCACATTGTCCAGGGCTACTTTGGGACCAGGAATGTAGCGTTGCACATACAAAAAGGGAGGAGCAGTTACGGGAGGGGTGCGGGTTGAGGGGAATTATCTGTCGTTGCTCTTCACAAATCATAATTTGTAAGATGTGGAATTCCAGATGTGATGACCTCAGATAATATTCCCGTGTTCGTGTCAGTGCAGTTTTTGGACACGACGCGTTAAGATCGCTAATAGCCACATGCATCATTTCTATGGCCAACCATTTTCTTTGATCGAGAGAAAAGTGTTGTGAGTGAGCAGAAAAATGATATACACACACACACACACACACACACACACACACACACACACACACACACACACACACACACACACACACATATACGACTCCCAAAAAGTGAGCCATATCGGGCTTTCCGACTGCATGTCCACCGTTCCACTACTTTTTGCACAGCTTGAGACTCTCTCGTTTGGTCTCAAGGGGCAAAATTCCCAACAGGTGTTTGATCCCTGAAGAATTTCCAACCATGTTCAGTTTCACGCCTTTCTGCGACTCTTACGTATTCTTTGATATATTTCCCTATGACACTCTTTGACATGCTATCTAAAGCCGCGCAATGAGGAGGCTTCGGACAGAATGTCCTCAGAGGAAAGCAGTGCCCACCAGCATCTTACTGCAGAGAGACTGGAAGAGTCACAGAAAGGTATACAGGAGACGTGTCCTTGGAAATTAAACCCTTGTTGGGATTTTTGCTATCCGGCTACTAGTTAGAGAACAGGAAGTTGTGGGGTGTAAAAAAATAGTGAAACATTGAACTGTTGGGCAAGAATCCAAAAGCTAGAGATAAGGTCAAATGAAAAAAAAAAATAGGAATAATCAAGTACCGAATCAAAAGTTGTTCTGCGGGGTTGCACTATCATATAAAAACACGACAATTCAAAAGACACGGTCACATCATTTTTGCAGCTCAATTCTTTTGTCTCCATTCCTCGTCGTGGCCGTTTCTGGTTCCAGCAGTTTGGAGCCGCGTATGCGCAGGGCTCCCTTGTTTATATCCTCATGTGTTCTCGGAGAGGAATGTGATCTCTCGAACCCACCCCGATCTGCGGTGTGCAGACGGTGAACTATTTGCAAACCCTCTGACCGCACTGAGCATCGTCAGCCTGCACAGGTCAGACGCTGTGTTGGCATGACGACGTTTTTATTTTGTCGAGTGGCTGCACAAAATCGAATCATCGGGATTTAGATACATTTTTCTGTATTTTATGCAACCATGTCAGGAAATAACATTGTGCAAATTCAAGACACCGTTTTGGTTTTTTTTTTCGGTGCATGGAAAAAAATCTAACACTTCGTTTTGTCATCAAGTGCTGACACATGGCAAGCACGTTCGCTGGCAAAGATTGTCGTCGTTGCTATTTGTTTTCTTTGTGTCTGTGTCGCCACGTCAAAGCAATTGGGCCCTCGGAATCAGTCGGCGCAGCAAACGGGACGGTTTCTTTGCGACACTGGCCTACCTGGTTCAATAAAAGTTAAGAAGGAACGAGTTCCAAATTTGCCTCTCAGACACAATGACGTCACCGTCTTTCTGTCCTGTGATTGGCTGGTCAGAGGAAACAGGTGGACTATCAAAGCACATCTGTAGACATCTGGTGCTGGATTTGAATTGGTTTCCGTTTTTTTTTTTTTTTTTTGGTCTTGTAATTAGATAAATAGTGATTCTGAACTGCTCGAGTTGATGTACAGGAAGTGGCAGAGTTGCATGCTGTTATAGTCTGGTTATTTTATTTTTTTTCAGTATTGACAGCTTCTAAAATGATGATCACGGCCTGTAATGAGATGCGGATGAAATCGAGTAAATCACTGGAGGCAACTGCAAAAGAATGAGATGAAATGAAATTGTGGTG